AGGAGGCGCGGGGGCTCTTTCGCCAGGTGCTGGAGGCCGTGCAGCACTGCAGCAGCTGCGGGGTCCTGCACAGGGACATAAAACCGGAGAACATCCTGCTCGACCTGGCCACTGGGCAGCTGAAATTGATCGACTTTGGCTGTGGCGCCTTCCTGCAAGACACAGCCTACACCCAGTTTGCAGGTGAGCCCTCGCAGGGGATGCTCCTGGCCATCTCATGGCCCAGCCTGGCTGTGGCACCGGGGATTCCCCGTGGTGCTGCCAGGATGGGATCAATGCTTGAGGCAAATTGATTTGGATGGGGGTGTGAGGGGGACCAGCTCCCAGCCCTGCCAAGAGCCTTCAGCACCCACTGTGCCCTGGGCTGGGGCTGGGACAGCCAGCCTGACAAAAACCCCCATGGGGGTAGCAGAGGGCGGGGATCGGACCCCATGCCCCAGAGAGTTTAGTGAGTCAGCGAGGAAGGGCTTGAACTCCTCTGCTCCCCACGTTTGCCTTGGCCTATTAACAATGTTTTGGAGGCCATGCAGGCAGGGAGGAGAGTGTGTTTTCTCTACCACGGGGTGTGTTTTTATTTGCTTGTCATGGTTGGGCCTCCCCAGTGCTTCTGCTGCCCTCTTCCAGCAGCAGTGGCTTCTTTTCCAACCCTGGGTTTGTAGCCAAGTGCCAGGTGCTGGCAAGAGGGCAGTGGGTCACCCCGTGTGCCGCTGGGGCAGCCCCCACATGCCCAGGGATGCTGGGGCCAGGCTCTGGGAGCAGCAGCATCCCCCTGATGAGCTCCATCTGTGTTCCACAGGAACCCTGTCCTACAGCCCACCAGAGTGGATCCACCAGCAACGCTACCATGGCCAGGCAGCAACAATCTGGTCCCTGGGCCTCCTGCTCTACCAGCTGGTCATAGGGAAGCACCCATTCATGAGGGGCCAGCAGATCATCTGGGGGCGGATCTTGTTCCCACGACGGCTCTCCCAAGGTGAATCCTCATCTCTGGGCACAGGGGGAACACCAGGCTTGGGAGACAGCTGTGGGCTCATGAGCATCCTGCTCTGGCAGCTGCTGAGGAGGTGGCACATGTCCTGCTCTCCTGCAAACAGGGAATCCATGGGGAAGTTGAGGCCCAGCTCTGGGCACACCCAGCATGGCCTGGGCACTGGAAGGGGGCGGCAACTTCTCCAACTGACTGGTGATTCCTGGTTTCTCTCTTCAGAATGCCAAGATATTATTAAGAGGTGTTTGTCCATGCAACCCTCGGACAGGCCATCCTTAGAAGACCTTTTCCGCGATCCTTGGATGCAGGCTGTTCATCTGCCCTAGGAGATGGGAGAGATCCACATGCACAGTTGGATCCAGGGGCCTGGCAGGTAACAGCTCCACACATTTCTTGGCAATGGGTGGCAAAGCAAACCAGGCTGTTTTTGTCCTGCCTGTAGCCCTGAGCAGGGGTCATCAGAAGGGAACACACAGCTCTTGGGCTGGAGCTGAGCTGGACACCTGGTGTGGCAAGCACTGGTGGCCACCATTCCCCCTGCTTTTGCTTGTTTGCTTCACTGATGGCTGGGACCCTGGGCAGAGCACTGACAGCCTGGTCTGGGCCCTAGGCAAGGAGAAGGAGCCCCTGGAGAAGCTGTTACCAGCTGGGGCTGCTGCTGGAGACACCAAGGGCAACCTCAAGGATGGCAATCTCTTCCTCTAGCTGGCCAGCTGAAGATGATGGATTTCAATTCTGGCATGTCTTCTTCAAAGACTCGCTCCACGCCCAATTTGCAGGTGAGTCCACAGCCAGGGGATGCTCCCAGATCTGGGCATGGCACAGCCTGGCCAGGCACCAAAGGTTCCCCCCTTGGCTGGGGTGGATGCAACCAATTCTTCAGTTGGCTGCCAAGCTGCTTTTTGTCTCTGGACAGCTGCTGAGGGGCTGGGTCTGCCGTGGCTGGCTGCAGGCTGGGCACATGGCCTGCCCTCCTGCTCTGCTCCCAAAGGCAGCAGTGATGGGCAGCTTTGGGCCCAGCTCTGAGCACGGCCAGCATGGCCTGGGCACCGCGGGTGGCTGGGACAAGGGGACAGGAGCCTTCAGCTGACGGTTTCTGGTTTCTCTCCTTGCAGCCGGGCTCTGCGGATACTGAGGCTGCTCTGGGCTCTGCCAGGGCTCTGCTGGGCTCAGCCCCAGGCACAGCTGGGCTCACCCTGCCCTCCCATTGCTCTGACAGCTTTGCATCACACGAGCCCGTTCCCAGCACACCGCCTGAGCTTTCTGCTTTTGCAGGTGAGTGAGACTCTCCTGCAGGCCAAGAAATTGCACTTAGGGACACACATCCAATTGGCAAGAACCCAAACTCTCCACAGTCCCAGCTGAATGCCTGCATCTGCACAGGATGTTTTCTATGTCCCACTCTTCCTTTCTTTTTGGCTGCAATTGTGCAATTGCACTTTCTTCCTCCTCTAGAAGTGCCACTGCTGCGTTCCTGAGGCAGTGCAGTCTGGAGCTGATGGATGAAGAATTGCCCTTCTGCACTTCCGAACCAGAGCAAAAAGCTGTAAGTGGGACTTTGCATCTTTAAGAAACACCTGAATGTTTGAAAAGGAATGTGCAGCTCATTCACAGGGTGAGAAGGAAGGGCATCTTCTAAAGGATTTGGGGTTTGACAGAGTTTAGATTCCCAGTGCTGATTGGAGCTGGCAAGGCGCAAAGCACTTTCTTCTTGCTTCACTCCAATTTCACCACAATTTCAAATAACAATATTGGAATCAAAAAGGCTCCTGAGGCCGGTAAGATGCATCATGCCATCAGCACATTTACAAAGTAAATAACTGAGTTTTATGTTTCAAAAGACCAATTACACCTTAATTCAAAGTTCTAGAAGATTTTTCACTGCACACTTGGGTTCTGTTTTTATCTTTCACATTTTATAGAAGTTTTTTCCTTTTATTTTTCCGCATTTTTCCCCTTAAAACAGAAATCATGCTATGAAAAAGAAGTGTCATTTGCTCCTGGTTCCTGTGTGGAGCAGCTCCCTTCCCGCTGGCTGAGCTGCTCAGGCAGAGCCCGGCAGCTCCTGGCCCTGCAGGGCTGAGGCTTTTCCCCGTTGCTGGGCACAGACTGATGGAGCAGCACTGCTGAACACGGGTACACGCAGAGGGAGCAGAGCAGCTGCCTTTGCCCACCTGAAGCTCCAAGGCCAAACTCTGAGCAGCCACGGCTGGAAGAGACTCGCAGGCTCCCTGTTGGCTCTGCTGCCCCACTTGTGCCCGGCCCAGCTCTGCGGGAGGCAGAGGGAGAACAAGGGGCAGCTCCCTCCCAGCCCCAGCCCAGGGACCCCTCCAGCCCCAGGCCTTGGGGCACTGTCAGCACCCGCTGCTCCAGCCACGGCTTCTGCTGGCACTGCCAGCAACAACCAAAGTGGGGCTGGTCCTGAGGGAGCAGCAGCAGTGCCTGGATCTGATCCCTCAGTGTGGGGCAGTGCTAGAAAAATGATCGCAGCAGCGCCAGCAGCACCAGCAGCACCAGCAGCACCACCAGCAGCACCACCAGCACCACCACCACCAGCACCACCACCACCAGCACCAGCACCAGAAGCAGGACCAGCAGCAGCAGCAGCAGCAGCAGCAGCACCAGCAGCAGCAGCAGCAGAAGCACCAGGGACAGGACCAGCACCAGCATCACCACCAGCAACATCAGTGGCAGCACCAGCAGCACTAGCGATACCAGCAGCAACAGCAGCAGGACCAGCAGCACCTCCACCAGTACCAGCAGCAGCAGCAGCAGACCCAGCACCTGCATCACCACCAGTGCCAGCAGCACCACCAGCACCAGCAGTGCCAGCAGCACCACCAGCACCAGCAGTGCCAGCAGCACCAGCAGGAGGACCAGCAGCACCACCACCACCAGCACCACCACCAGCAGCAGCTGCAGCAGCAGTGCCAGCAGCAGCACCAGCAGCAGCAGCACCTGCACCAGTACCAGCAGCACCAGCAGCACCAGCAGCAGCACCAGCAGCAACTGCAGCAGCACCAGCAGCAGTACCAGCAGCGCCAGCAGCACCAGAAGCAGGACCAGCACCACCAGCACCACCACCAACAGCAGCTGCACCAGCAGCAGCACCAGCAGCAGCAGCACCTGCACCAGTACCAGCAGCACCAGCAGCACCAGCAGCAGCACCAGCAGTGCCAGCAGCACCACCAGCAGCACCACCAGCAGCACCCGCAGCAGCAGCACCTGCAGCAGCAGCACCAGCAGGAGCACCAGCAGCAGCAGTGCCAGCAGCAGCACCAGCAGCACCAGCACCAGTACCAGCAGCACCAGCACCAGCACCACCACCAGGACCACCACTAACAGCAGCTGCAGCAGCAGTGCCTGCACCAGCACCAGCACCAGCAGCACCAGAACCAGCAGTGCCAGCAGCAGCAGCAGCAGCAGCAGCAGCAGCAGCAGTACCACCAGCACCAGCAGCACCACCAGCAGTACCAGCAGCCGCAGCAGTACCAACACCAGCACATGGAGCTGACTTTCAGTGCAGCCTCTGCCATGCTTCCCTCCCTGTGCAGCGCTGTCACAGCAGCCTGAGGCACCTGGGAGCCCTCAGTGCCAGCAGGTACTTGAGATGGCAGCCCTGGGCTCCTGCATGTTACGCCAGGAACAGAGCTGGGGACTCCCTCTCCATGTGGAGCTTCCAGATGGAAAAGGCTGCTGTGACCTGGCAGCTCCAAGGGCACAGAAAGGAGGGGCTCGACCCCTTGATCTGTGCCAGTCCCACAGTCCTGGGCAGCAGCCACCGAGCCCTGGGGGAGCAGAGGGCACAGCAAGAGGGACAAAAGCAGTCAAGGTCAGAGACTGGGAAGAGCCAGACCTGGGAGCAGGAACAGCTGCTTCATTGAACTCCTGGAGGAAGCTCTTGGCTGGTTCAAAGCCCTGAAAGGTGTGAAGGGCAGAGAAGAGGCCACACCAAACAATGCTCCTGTTTTCACACCTCCCCTCTCTGTGTCCCAGAAGGAATTGGATGAACTGTATTCTTCTCTCTGAGTCGTCTCGTTCAGTGTGAGCAGCTCAGCACCAGGAGCTGAAGGAGCTGAAGCCTCAGGCCACAAGAGCTGAGCAAGAGGGGGCTTTTGGGCCAAAGTAATGCTGCTAAGTAATGGACCTAGCTGAATGCAGCAGATAGAATCCTGCAATTATAGAATCCATTTTGCTGGAAAAGGCCTCTGAGCTCATCCAGTCCAGCCAGTCACCCAGCAGTGTCAAGCCCAGCACTAAACCTCGTCCCTGAAGTGCCAAGGTCTGAACAACAGGCCCTGAGTGAGGCCTGAACAACAGGCCCTGAGCCAAAGGTGACCTCTGGATGAACCTTCCAACCAGAGGTTATCTGTCTGTCTGCTCATTACTGAAATATGCATGGTCATTAGCACTGTGATAGATGGATCCACTCATCAATGAAACATGGATTGACCTTTCTGTGTTTAGAAGCCAGACAAGGCCATTCAATCTGACATCTGGCCTTGTTTGGGGTGTATGGACAGAGTCAACTCCCTTGGTTCCTCCTTGAGGCCTGGCCAGGCTTTGGTAGGGACCCAAGAGGAGGATGAAACCAGATGTTCCCACAGCAGAAGTGCTGTCAGTTTGTTTATTCAGCACTATCAAAGCTGGGCCCTCTCTCACAGCGGAGGTTGAGCCTCACCTGTGGCTGGAGGCACCTGCAGGATTTCCCAGTGTCCAGGAGTGGCTCTCCAGTCCTTGGCTGTGACAGCATCCCCAGCTGATGGGTGGATCTGGGGATGGCAAAGTCTGAGGGGAACTGGATCTTTGTTAATGCCTGCAGGCAATCTTTGGCAGTGATGATTGGGTGCATTGCTGAGCTGCTCCTTTTGTGATCCTTTGCTGCTTGGAGCTGCAGTAAGTGACACTGATTCCTTCAGGTGGTGTTGGTGCCTTTGGTGCTGACTCTGCCCACTGGTGAAACAAAATTGGCAAAGTCTGGCCAGATCACAACAAAATATCACTTTTTAAATGTAAATGTAAGGAATCAGTCCCATCTGAAGTTCCCAGAAGGGAAGCCCTCCCCAGAGTTCACTGGCTCTGGAGTGGGGCTGAGGTGGGAGCACCGTGCGAGCAGTGGGGCAGTCGGTTAAAAGAGGCTGAACCGCAGGATGTCTTAAAATGCATCCAAACATTGCATATGGAAAAAGGAAAAGAACTTGTGGGTTTGGGAAGACAAGGATGGATTTTCTTAACAGCACCAACAGAAGGAACAGTTGTTTTTGGAATGCTCCCACATGAAGGTACAGAAAAAGGTTTTAGTCTTGAGCTCAGGTTTGTTTGTGCAAGTAACATAATAACAATAACAATAACAACACAATAATATATATTTATATATATAACTAAAAATCAATAATGTGAAATAATGCTGAAAATACCAATTTGTGAGTTTTGGCTGCTCACTGTAACACTAAACACCCTACAAAAAAGAACTGGCAAAGACCCAAATGTCAATGGTAAACTTTTGTGAATTGTATACAAGGAATAAAGGAAGAAGGGATGAAATTGGCTGTTTTTATAGGGTTTGGTGATACTATGATGCAGAATGCTTTGTCTGTTCCTGTGAAAAACACACTGATTAAGACTGCTGGGTTTTTCATGTACCAGACTATCTACAAGCTGCAGGATTGGTTGAACAGGTGAAGGAGTGTTAAAGAGCAGTTGATAAAATGAGGAGATGGGAACCTGTCCTGGTGGAGAACCCATCTCCCAGATGTGTTCCATGCCCTTAACAATGGGCCCACTGGGGAAATGGAAACCCCTGGGTGTGCAGGGCTGCACCCAATTTGCAAACACAACCATGGACAGTGAGACTTGGACTGCCTGAGAAATTGTTCTGGGTGTGATGGCCCCTGACAGGGCCACCCCAGAGGCTGCAGGGCTGGACCTTCATGCACTGGAATTAATTAGGAAAAAGCCAAAGCAAATGAAAGTTAACAATGCAAGAATAGGAATTCAGATTCCTCCAGGATGCTTTGGTTTGGTAACTGCTCACTTGAGCTTGGCCTTGCAAAGTGTTGATGTCATGGGAGGAGGAATTGATGCAGATTATCAAGGAGAAATTAAAGAAATTCTGTTAAAAATGAATGAACAAGATTGGATTATTCAACCCCATGACAGGTTATCACAAATATTGATATTGCAGTTTAAAAACAATTGTGAAAGGAGATCCACCTCCAATCAGCACTGTTTGTGGAGATAAAAGGTTTGGATGCAGCAGTCCTAATAATTGGTCCAGAGTGTGGGTCCAGAGGCCAAATGGCCCTCCAGAGGCAGCTGAAGGAACAGCTCTGGGGAAAGACAACACTGGTTGAATCCTGAAACCTGAGCATGAAGAATGGGAATATATCCCTGCAGCCAAGTGTTCTCTGCCACAACAAGCTGATGTTATGGGATATTGTTTTACAGATGCTGCCAGACCAAATCTCCCTGTTAGCCCCAACGACCCCTTTGGAAAATGCTCTGATTCACGGGGCTCCATGTGAAGGCTGATGTGACACTGAGGGACTTGCACACCAATTCCAGCCAGGAGCCTGGGTGCCCGTCAGGGACTGGGACCTGGCACTTCTCCAGCCGAAGGGGAGAGGATCCCAATTTCCAGCTCCTGGCTGGAATTGGTGTGGAAGTCCCTCAGTGTCACATCAGCCTTCACATGGAGCCCCGTGAATCAGAGCATTTTCCAAAGGGGTCGTTGGGGCAAACAGGGAGATTTGCTCTGGCAGCATCTGTAAAACAATATCCCATAACATCAGCTTGTTCTGGCAGAGAACACTTGGCTGCAGGGATATATTCCCATTCTTCATGCTCAGGTTTCAGGATTCAAACAGTGTTGTCTTTCCCCAGAGCTGTTCCTTCAGCTGCCTCTGGAGGGCCATTTGGCCTCTGGACCCACACTCTGGCTCCATTATTAGGACTGCTGGATCCAAATTCTTGATCTCCATGAACAGAGGTGATTTGAGGTAGATGTCCTTCTTTCACAATTGTTTTTAAAACTGCAATATGAATAACTGTACTA